CAACCATAAACCATTGGGGGTATAATTTCGTGTCATATATAGGCATTTTAAGTACTAATTGGCTGTACTATGTAGCATAGAACATGAGTAGAACAAGATTATGGCAAGATACTCACCACTGCAACCATTTGTACATTTGTCGGAATAATCACCACTGAAATCATTTGCACATTTGCATGTGAATCACGATTACATGCATGCACATCGACATTTTTGATGACATTTGAATGAGAGATAAAAGGAGAATAAACTAACCTCCGCTGTGGCCACCTCTAAATTCAAATTTTGAATTTTTAGTAACAATCGAACGAGCTGAGTCCTAATTCCGCTCCGTTCCTAGTTACACTTTCACCTTTGGAATATTTGGAAGATATTTTCCCTGTATTTTCTCTAGGATACGTGGTATATGGAGGAGATCTTTGTTGCTACACCACAAAAGTGCATGGGAATTATTATCGGAACTGGGGGAAGAAATATAAAACAACTGCAACACGAGACACATACGAGAATATGGAAGAGTAATGAAGTCGGGAGAGGGTCTGGTTTTATAATCACTGGCACTGCAACTGGTTGTGAAGAAGCACGACTGGCTATACAACGTCGCATAGTAAGTATCAGTATCTTATACACCTATCTTTATTCTCAGGTCGGCCCCACAAATATAGTGATAATTTAACTGAGCGGGGGTACTAGAAAATCAAACGCGTGATCACAAAGTCAATCTCGTTCCCAGAGTATGCCTGTTCGTGGGTTATGTAGTGGCCTGACTCTGGGGAAATCGAATTTTTATCCAAAATGAGATAAATGCCGCATCCGCTTTTATTGCTCTTGTTTATTCTACTATTTATAATTTAATAATTATAATTATTAAATAATTATTAATTATAATAAGTATTAATAAATAATAATAATATATAAATAAATTATAATAATTATTAATGATAATAATTATTAATTATAATTATTAAATTTAATAATTATAATTATTAATTATTATTATTATTTATAGTTGGAGGTTCACTGTAATATATATCACATATTTTGACAATAGCCACATCATTTTTATATTCTATTACATGCATTTTAACATATATACATGGGGCACATATAAAGTCTTTAAATAACAGTACATTCTGTTTGTAATTATATTTACTTGCGTCGAAAGTAAGACATGAAGTGGACAAGACCATATATATTTGTTGAAAATTTGTTGCAGTGGGTATCTCCCATTTGTCTTTCATGCTTCACACTATGTATCTTTGGACATTGAATCAGCAACTAATTATAGGCAAGGATATATTTACTAGCTCATTACTCCATATTACCATGTACATAACATGCAATACATCAACCTTGCAATCCATGCTTTAATCCCTGCAGTTGCCCCCTCTCCTGCAGCATGGAAAGGGAGAGGAAGGAATGGAGGTACTGTAATTTCTATATTTAGTCCCCCTCCCTTTTAATCTCCACCCCCACTCTTTTTGGATACATAATCAAAAATAAATAAGCCGCCCCTCTTTTAACCATACAGCCCCCATTCAATTAATTCTTAAAATCATGAATTATATTGCATTTCTGCAGTATTTTAATAAAATATAGTACAACGGTAACTCTGAATGTGGACATTTTTTAATGCTAACCAGACTTGTCGCATATATTTAGAACAAGCGCCCCCTCTTGATTAAGCCCCCCTCTCAATGAGGCTTCCCCCGGGAGGCTTGATACAGAAATTAAAGTAGTTATTTGATTGAAACTGGTAACTATTTCAATCCTACTGTATCTCCTTTTATATATAATTGCCAATATATTCACATAGAATTATAGTTTGGAAATGGAATCAATGCTTGTATATTTTTATCAATCCACAATGATACTTATTGCTATAAACAACATTGTTTCACATAGCAGCAGACAATGAATGAATAAAATTTTCCATCAGTATTTGGATTCACCATTTGGGTTCATTTTATCCAGACACAAATGTTTCATTAACTGCTGTCATGATGCACAAATTATTTTAGGTTTCAATTGGCTTAGTTACAGCCTTACATCATGATGGCAAGTTGCAACCATTTACAAAGCAGGTCTATAACCAAGTGTTTTACAACCTGAGGAAGTTCTTAAATTAATTCTATTATTTATACAGATACTACAAACATCACCCCGCATCTTAAATGTATAGATAACTCCTTTTACAAAAGCACAAAGACCACCGGCTACAACATGTTGGCCATAATTGATAATGTGTACTAATTGACCTCTTAGCACATATTTGTCAAGTGAACATGATTGTTTAAACTTTAAAGCATTAACACAAGCAACAGCTGTCGCTCCAAAGTCCTGGCGACAATATATCAATTTAACAAAACAACGACAACGTATGCGACGATTCATTTAGCCAATTCTTTCATGGTTTAATCATGGAATAAATACGAAACTTGTACGCCGTCGTTTTCATACACAAATATGTACTCACACTCGGTAAAAAGTCATTAAAAAGTCATTCATAAATACCATGCCATTTTGTAACGATTAATATTATATCCTTCGATTTGTATTGTTTGATTTCGCATTTCAAATCTGGTAAAACATTGACAATTCTCTCTTCGCGTATGTCCACGCGTAATTCTCGCAAAAAACACGCATTAATTTGTCGGCAACATTGATGATCGCGTCAGCCAATCAAATAACGATTTCGATTCGATTTCCCCAGAGTCATGCCACTACATAACCCGCGAACAGGCATACTCTGGGAACGAGATTGTCACAAAGTCGACTTGTTATCAGAAGTTTGATTTCAAACCAAAATTGCATGACACGAATTACATGACAGTTAAATTTCCACTATTATTTCATGACCTTTTAAAGTTCGCCCATTTTTGTACCTGCGCGTGGCGCTAGAAACTATGCTATCGAGGTGTGCATGTGGGTGTGCGCATTAAACACTCAGGTCGAACAGGCAGTAAAACAAATACGAACAGGCAGTAAAACAAATATGGCGGCTTTCTACAGGATTCGAAGTGTTTCTATGTATACAGAGAAACTCAGGGCCTTTTTTTTAAGGATTTTCCGGGGGGGGGGATTTTTGAAAAGGGACCTTTCTGTGAGATAATATATTAGAGGTGGATAGGAACGGCTGAAGGCCACGTGTGTGGCTGACATACCACGCATGATTAGGGGGGTCTGAGGCCCCAGAAAATGTTTGAAATTTGAAGCACGGAAATGCCATTTCCTGCATTCTGAGCATTCAAATTTGCTCCAAAATTTATGCTAAATATACTTGTATTTGAAATAAAAGAAGGAAAAAACGCACAAAAAGTTTAAAAAAATATTAACCGTAATTTGTCATTACTTATTAGAGGGGGACAGCAATGGCCGAAGGCCACGTGTGTGGGAGCATACTACACAGAAAATGTTTGAAATTTGAAACCCGGAAATGGCATTTCCTGCATTCTGAGCATCCAAATTTGCTCTAAAATTTATGCTAACTATACTTGTATTTGAAATAAAAGAAGGAAAAACGCACAAAAATAAAATAATTAATAACAATAATTTATCATTAAACAATTTAAATCGATTTTGTTAAACAAGGACCAAGGATAAAGCCTAAAACTTACTTTCCGTTTATTTATTTGTTTTTCTTCACTGGTTTGTTCATGGATTTAGGAAAAAGGGACTTTTCCTGGG